GATTATGGTACAGCTTGACAGCTACACGTGCATCTCTGGAATTTGCAGTCGTACAAAAACAATGCCAAGTAAAGAGTGCAAGGTGATTTTATTTTCAGAGAGATTTCTACAATTATTAATTTCTAAGGAACTCTTAGGATTTTTAATAAAAAGAAGGCAGTCTGGCTTATAGCCTGCACTGAGAGTCCTCAGTAAACAGCCGCAGAGTGAGTATGGAGACGGTGCAGAGCTAGGACCCTGGGTGGCCTCACCTCCATCACGACGTAATGGTGTGACCTCACCTTTCTGGTTTTAGCTGGCGCATCGATATAGATAGAAATTCTGCTACATAACATGACTAGATCTTTCCCAGCTTAAACAAACAAACAAACAAACAAAAAAAGTCCTTTGGTTTCAGATATCACTCCTAAGGAAATACCAAATCACACATAAATCTTTCATTTTAGGCTTGATTTCCTTTAAACAACAGCAGACCCATAAATAGCCAGGCTTTCTGAAAAACAAAAATGCCTCTCCCCCTCTTTTTTTATTTTTGAGTAAAGGAACAGTTTCTCAAGAAAGTTTCCACTGAGTCCTCTTCAACTTCCAGATTTTAAAATAGGGATGGTATAAGGAGGGACTTTTGTCTCATTGCTGCTGTTGTTGAAGCATACTTATTTGTGGTTAAAAAAATTTAGAAATCTATGAAATAGTAAAACTCGTTTTACAACTAACCTGCCAAAATATACATGTATCCTTCTTTATAAGGAAACTGGAAAATTTTTTTATTGAATTTTGACCAGAAATCACAGCAAATGTTTTAAATATATTTTTTCTGTATAACATACTTCGATTAAAAAATAACTATGATCGGAAAATTTATTTTCCTATTGTGTTTGCATTTTGGTTATACCTCATATCTCACTTCTCTTCCCTATAAATCATGCCGCTTCATTTAACATTACTTTTGTCACTTTGTATCTTAGAATAAAATGTTTAAAATCTTAACTAACATTAGGCTAAATGGAGATTCTGATCTATGTGGCATGTAGGTCTAGATAACTATATTTTGTTTTCATCTTTCAGGCTATTTAATGGCACAAAACTAAAAGATATTCATAATAATCCAACGAGCTGTCCAATCTTTTTATTGGCACATTTGATTTTCAGGCCAATTTGAATATCATATAGGTGAACAGACACTCGAAAAGGTAGAAGGTATCAAAAGTTAAAATGTGCAAATCACAAAAAAAAGAAGGAAAGTGATTTCTCTTCATTTTTAGCAATTTCTCAATGTTAACATTATTTTTAGTGCACCACTCAGCGATCAGCCATGGTATTAATTACCTTAAAAATCTCATACGGTTAAGCATAGATAATAAAAGATCAAATTCATCACTTTGGTGCAGATGCAGGAGCAAGCAGAGACACTCCAAATGTGCAACCCCCAATTTTTATAAACAAGCAAACAAAACACAAAAAACAAAACAACAACAACAAAAAAACCCAAGCGGAAAAGGTAGAGAAAGAAATTATGGTAAAGTCCTCCAGAAAGTCAGAACTTTCAAGTTAATTAAATGTAGTTCGACAAACTGCTAGAGAACAATCCCCATGCACTTTTCTGGACTTTGCTTTCCAGCTTTTCTCATTGGTTCTTAGAGCAGGCATGCAGGTGAATATACTCTGTCCTCGGCTGCACAGAAATGAACGATCAGTATATTCATTGGCTTATTAATGAGCACATTGAAGAACAGGTACAAGGCCACCTACCATTGTCACTGTCTCCTTCAGATGGAACACTGTAGCTAGAGCTGTCCCATGTTTGTGCCTGTGTAAGTTTGTTGAAGGAGATAGGAGGAAGAGTGAGGGCTGGGTCTGCAGGAGAGCAAGAGAGCCGGTCCGCGTACAGTTGGACAAGGACCAGGAAAAACCAAAGGGACAGCAGCATTTCACAAATGGCATAAGGTTTGTATGGAAATGAAGCGAATTTCATATTATGGGATTTAAATTCAAATGTACAATATAGGAGGAGAATGAAAGATGGCGCATGAAATAAAAAGAATGATAAAAACCGAGTGTTAGTACTTATCAATCATATACTTTGCATGCAGTTAATATTGTTAACCTTAACAGTTCTGCAAGCCCACAGACTCAGAGTCCTAACGAATCATGTCCGCAGATAGGAAGCGTACCCACAGTCAACATACATACAAAGCAGAAGACCTACCACACACCTTTTTTCAAAACCTTCTAGAAAACTAACATCGTAGCAAATACGATTCACACAAAAAAATTCGGTTACATAGACAAAGCTTAATATGTGTAAATATATCTATTATTTAGAAATGAGACTATTACAGAATCAGTGTTTACCATGTGTCAATTTTTTTCCAAGGCAATGTAAAATTTCTCTTTAAAGGTTACCTCTCTCTCTGTCTCTCTCTCTCTGTGTTAAAAAATAAAAAAAATCTTTAAAATTAAAAAAAAATTCTCCCTAAAAAAAAAAATAAATAAAGGCTACTGGCATGCTTTATTGATAGCTGTAGCGAGCCAACTCTGCTCAACCCTGGACACACACACCCCTCAATACTGTCTTGGTACCGATCAGCAGGAAAACATTTTCTGACACTAGCAGGGTCTCTTTAACAACAAACCTCATTCACCAATAGAAGTCAATCAATTTCAAGCACTTCTGAGTTAGGAATGAATATTTGAGTATATACAGTTGTCTCTCTTTGGAGGAAAACAGAAGAGAAAAAAAATGTTCTTTTGAAGAAAACTATCAGCCTACTTAAGAATCTAAGTTCTTATTCCAATTTGCTGATTTGAGCAGTCTATTTTTATTTATAACACAGAAATCACATAAATCCATATACTTAACTTGAAAAGAAAAGTTCATTGGCTTTCAAAAGTTCCAAAGCTACTCAATCAAATAGAACTTCTTTTTAAATTGTATCATCTTCAATTAAGATTGCTATATATATTATTTTTTAGAAAATGTGAAAAATACATACTGTAATATGTTTAAATTACTAAATAAAATGAAGAAATCCCCAATATGTAATGCAGTTTTATAAAATTCCAACATGCCACTTGATGTTCCTGATGATAAATCACATTATTTACAGCAACCAAACTCCACAAAGCTTTCAACGACTAGAACAGTTTCCACAGTCAGCATTATAGAAAGGTTGGAAGCTTGCAGAGGAAATTATCTTTGTTTTCTGCTATTCAAAATAAATACCCCCTTTCTTTTTCCACCACTACAATGAATTTGAAATGGTTGAACAGTACAAGTACAATATTGATAAGCCAAGTTTGGACTCCATAAAAGAGAGGAAAAAATATCATTGAACAATTTTACAACTAAATTGTAAAGATGTATATTCAAAAGAATATTGGTCTTTGAGGATTCATTCACCTTTTGATTGCTCATTTATGAAATATATTTAAAATTCCTTAAAACTACCTGTAAGGATTAGAAGCAAATCTGTAGCCCAGTCTGAGGTCCTGAATACACAGCGATAACTCTCCTGGAAGGCCGTCACTGAAGGCACGGGGGAGAGGTGCCCACCTGATCATGTCTCCTGGTACACACGTGAGACCCCAGGGAAATGGAAGCCCAGCCCAGATCTGACTGCATACGCTCACTGCCATAAATGAGGAGGCCAGTCATTTGAGCCTTATTTCATGCATAATTTGGCTTTCCATAACACACCTACTAACCTTTGCCATGTCCCAGCATTTTCTCAAATAGCTTTGCCTTATAGCCCATCCAGAATGCCAGGAAACCATTACACCTGGCTACATGTTATGCATCAATCAACCTGCTCCCCAAACGAAAAAGTTTCCTTCATAAAGGAATTATATTTGTTTTTTTATGGGTACCTGTTTACAAAATATACACGTATATAACTTCTGTTTGCCAAAATGCTTTACTGAAAAACCCAAGACATCTAAGTTCTTTACTAGATTTTTGCTTAAATGTGTCTGAGTCCCTTCTTAGCAGTTACTTAAAAGCATTATAGTCTGAAAAACAAACTGAGGGTTCTAGAGGGGAGAAGGGTAGGGGGATGGATTAGCCTGGTGATGGGTATTAAAGAGGGCACATTCTGCATGGAGCACTGGGTGTTATGAACAAACAATGAATCATGGAACACTACACCAAAACAAATGATGTAATATATGGTGATTAACATAACAATAAAAAATTAACCAAAAAAAAGCATTATAGTCATGAGTGTATGCAAAGATCCAAAAGTATTAAAATAAAAAAGGACTAAAAGAAGGTAGACAGTGCTAGAACTTCAGTGGAGAAATCAGAAGAACCAAATTTTTTTATGCATCATCGTCCTTTTTAAAACCAATAGTTATTTTGCACATTGTTATAATTTACATCTGTGAATACACTAACAATAAATTAAAAGAAAGTAGATAATATAAGCAGAAAGGCTTTTTTAAATTTTATTTTATTATGTTATGTTAGTCATCATAGAGTATATCATTAGTTTTTGATGCAGAAAGCCTCTTTTAAAGAAATGACTCCTGGCCACTCATGTGAGCCTTGAAATGATCACCCTGTTGCAGGAGGAAATGCATAACCTTACAAGGGTTAGAAAGCCAACAAAGGATATTTTAGAGGAGTCACCCTGTCAGAGGCTGCTCTTTAGCTCAGCACCTTCCTAGGAACCACTGGGGCAAAGCGCTAGCTATTTTATCTTCCCTGGGTAAAACACTCATTAGAATATTTCTTCCCCACTAACATGCCCCATCACATTTTCTCTTTGCTCGGATTGGAAAGCAGCTATGATATCTACTACTGATAACATGGACATAGCAGATGATTCACTGAGAACAAGGCTCCAAAGTCTGGCCTCCCCAAGCTGCAGCTCTGAGGCTAGGACTCAATGTTCACCAGAGCGCATTCACAAGGCTGTTCACGCTAACACATACACATTTAAGAGGCTAAAGGGAAACAACTGAGTGTTTCGAAGTGTCAGGACGCTGAGGTTTTAATTTACCTGATCGAGGCTTGAGGCCAAATGGAGCTGTGCTGTTGGTGGTGGGAGAGATGGCAGGCGAGTTCCCTCTCATCTGCAGTATTGGAAGGAAAGGATGTTTTTGTTTTTGTTTTTTTTAAAAAACAAACAACTAAAGCAGAACTACACATGCTTCTCTATGTTCCAGGATTATAACACCACTACCTCTTTGATTCGCTGCATGTGATGAAGCCCTGACTAAAAAAATATGACTGATGCATCTTCGCATTGCAAATGGTTGAGTGGCATCGTTAACAGAATGTTGTCTGCGGGGAGAGCCAGTCAATTTTCATTTGCGCAAGAAAAAATATTCTACAATCATGTGACACTGGCGATCTCTTCTGCTCCAGAATAGATGCGTGCATGGGTACACACACACAGGCACACACTCACACTCCCCTCACAGGGGGCACAGCTGATGAAGAATGTCATGACACAGTAAGATAGGAAAACAGGTCACATTGGACAGAGTCTCATCTACAGGGAAACCACCCACTGCTCCACTGATGGATAACAGGACATTCGAAATGCTGCCTATGGAAGCCATCACTCTGTCTTCTATAAAGACGCTGCCATATTTGGTTTTCAAAATATATCTTAAAAAACAATCTTTCATTATGGAGAGGGCCAGATAAGACTATGATAGCTAATGAGACTCCCCCAGAGAACCTGCAATACAGTTAACTCATGAATCATGACAGTCTCAGATTATGTATTTCTGTAAAAGCTATTCCAATTCAGCCTTCACAAACTACCTCGTCTACCTCGTCCTACGGTAATCCTCAGGAAACTTACCTCATTTGGAGAATACTCGCTCCCATTGCTCTGTGATGTGAGATCATTTTGCACCTTAAAGAAAAAAATGCGTGGTATATTCCATTAGACCATAAAATTACTGAGGACAGAACTGCGTCCTTCTGACTTCCCTCATATCCCTGGCACCTGGGCACTCAATGAATATATACTGAATTAATGAAGTAGTGTGTTAAATAGCGAAGTAGGTCATACTGACATTTGCTAAAAACATGCAGCTGTACTCACACAAAAAAAATACATCTAAAGTATTACACAAACTAAGAAAAGGGATCTCCCAGGGCAAAGAGCTCAGTCCAAAGTACCTTTAAACATAACCCGCCTTGCTTGATGACCAAGCCACGTGCAGGCTCCCACTCCTCATTTGAACTACAGGTCTTTAGAAATGGTCCAAGGCAGTATTTCCCAAATACATAGAATCTCACTGGGAGCTTTTATTTTTTTAATATTTTATTTATTTATTTATTTTAGAGAGAGGGGGAAAAGGGAGAAAGAGAGCGTGCTGTGCGGGGGCGGGGGGGGGGGGGGGGGAGGCAGAGAATCTTGAGCAGGCTCCAAGCTGAGCACAGAGCCTGATGGGGGTGGGGCTCGATCTCAGGACCCTAACTAAGATCATGACCTGAGCTGAAACGAAGAGTTGATGGCTTACCCGACTGAGCCACCCAGGTGCCCCTCATTGGGAGCTTTTAGTAAATATACATGCCTACACTCCAAATTACCTGAGACAATCTTATGTTATCAATTCGATGCCAGTTTGCTTGGGCAACCAATGAGGAAACTCTAGATTATTTTACTCAGATCAGCCTTCTTCTTCTTTTTTTTTTTTTTTCAGATCAGCCTTCTTTATACGGTCATCAAGGAACCCACTGACTACCCTAATAAAAAACCCTGGTGATAGCTAACATAAACATCTTCATTTATAGCACACCAAATTTGTATAAATTTAAGATGGCTATTCCTATTCCTATTGTTGAGGAGTGCTATTTAAGAAATACTCCAAACTTCGACACATCCATAGGAAAAACATATTTTTAGAATAAAATGTCATTAATTTCCCTACTCAATTAAATGGCTTTGTTAGAAATACTAACAAGTACCTGCGGGTTTGATTCTCTCTATGAGCTATTCCTTCCTCCAACACTGTCCCCAATTTGATATTATTTATGAAGGAGACTATAATTTGCAATTCTTCCTGAATGGATGCCAGTGCTACCCAAACTTGATACCATCATCTCAACTATGTTTAAAGTCAGACAATGTGATGTAAAAACCCCCTGGCAATCTTGGCCCGACCCATTGAACTGGGCAGGGCCACAGTTCACACCCCTCCTCAGTGTTCTGCCTGGCTCACACACTGTGCTGATTCTGCCATAGCTGCGTGCTGGGACCCATCCAAATCCAAACAACCCCCAAAATCTACGTTTACTTCCCTCTCTCTTTAAACTCTACCTCTTCCCCAGTCTCCCAGAGCACCTAAAATACTCAGGATTACAGACCACCTCAAATTCTTTAAATTTTTTCAATATCCAAGTTTTCTTCCCTCCACATTTTTTAAAACATCTTAAAAGGAGGACAACTTCATATCCTTAACAGCCCAGTCCTTGACACCCAAAACAAAACCAAATCCAGCGTAAGTACTCTGCAAACACTGGCTAATTGATTCAAGACTTATGCTAAGGTTATTGCTTTCCTCTGGAATGAGATAGAAAATATAAAAATAACCAAATCATAAATGAGGGCCACATTGAAATTCTATAATCATTAGCACTGGCCTTGCTAGTCCACCACTTTCTCTTCTTCCTCCTTGTGCCTTCCAGAGCCCACTATCTGATCCCTCCTTTTCAAAATCATTGAGATGTGCCTGTAATGGACAGATGAATGCCCTAGAGAAGGAAGACAATGAGTAAGAATTTCTTACACCAAATAGGAGTCCTCATTCAACCAAAAAGAAAAAACTAACTTATATTAATACAAAACGTTATAAATCAGAGACGGAGTGGACGTATCTTTTTTTAGAGGACTTGTGTCTTAAACTGGTACTCCTGAATCAGGCACCCAGGATGACATCTGTTTTACTAGCATCAAAAGTGGGTCTGCAGCAGGACCCTAACCAGTTATAAAGTACCTCTTCACTGACTGCTTATCGGTTGCAATGGAAAAACAGAACAATAACTACACAGTGGACAAATCAAGCTACACAACAAATGGGCAATCAAATTAACATCACCAATCAGGCCCATCTAGACACGTGTGATATCCTGAGATGGACATAATACCACCTGTGCAGTGTTCCGATCAAGCACACAGAAGCCTAATCTATCGTGAGGAAATATGAGGGACTTTTGTCTCACAAAATAAGGGGCACACCATTAAAAAAGGGGAGAGCTATGTTCTTCAAAATTTCAAGGTTATAAAAAACAAAGAAATGTTACAGAAATGTTCCAGAGTAAGGGAACCTCTAAATACCTCCTCCTAACTGAATACAATACCTGCCACTACACTGGATCCTACATGGGAGGAGAAAAAAAAAAAATCTGAAGAACATCATTAGATCAACTGAACAATTTGGAATATGAATAGTAGATGAGATTAAAACAGTTTATCAATGTAAATTTCTGAATTTGATACCTGAAATGTAGTTATGCAAAGTAAAACCTCTATTCTTAGAACACATACAGTGAAATATTTAGGGGAAAAAGGACTGTGATATATGAAACCCTCAAATGCTTCAGAAAAAGAACCATGTGTGGAGAAAGAGAGAAAGAGAAGAAACAATATGACAAATGTGGTAAAACAATAATAGGTCACTCTGGGTAAAAGGACGCAATTTTTGTAACCTTTTGTAGAATCTTGTAATTTTTCCCCACATTTTTATGAATTTAAAATTATTTCCAAATAAGAAGCTTAAAAAAAAAGTGGGTCAACTATAATCAATCAATAATAAAATAGTGGGCCTGCACAGAATCACAAGGAGCTTGTCTCAAAGGACAGCCTGAGGGAATGGGCCGGGGGCAGCCTTCACACAAAAGGCTTCCTGATGTTCCAGGACTGGGTAATTCAGTGATGCCTCCACCAGGGAAGACACGGTGCAGTCATTTTGTCTGAGGACCCCACCAATAATGATAATAGAATGGTAGAGTGAGAGTCATAGCTAACATCTAGGTATCCTGGGTTGTGAGACTGGTCCCAATTTACAGAAAATGAAAGTGAAGTTTAGAGAGGTTGCCCATAGTTAGCAAGTCTTTGAGGTGGGATTAAAACTCAACATAATTCTAAGTCATGGCGCTCAACAAAGAAACCAGAGTGGTTCTCTCTCCTCTTATTTAACACAGAGACTTAGCCAGTTAGGAGTGTCAAACTGCTTCACTACACTTCACATGCTCAAACACCTCAGGGACATAAATTGGTGTGTCCTGAAGTTAGCCATCCCAAACCCACTCACTACGGTGGGATGAATTAGGGTGTCACCCAGATGTCACTCCCAAGTCACCAGCTCAACCCTATTTTTAGGACTGTTTCTCTGGGACCTTCTAGGCTCATCTCTAGTTTTACATCAAAACGGCTTTCGATAGCCACCCAACTTCCACCCAGCACAACTCCACCCTTACTCTGTCCCCACATAACCCCACCAGGTCTCTAAAGTTCTCCTAATCCTCCCAGGCACTTCCCAAATCATTTGTTCTTGCCTCTCAAGTCTTTTCTAGTTTATTTCCACCTGGCCACTCCCTAGGCTTCGTTCTTGGCTCTAAAATCTACACTGAGTGGTCCTACCTCTTTCTGATGCAGCAGGTTCCCTTGCTATCTTAGTTGCTACTGCCTGGCTCAGCAGGACTATCTGACCCCCCAAATTTAGAGAGTTTAATGGGAAGAGCCAACTCTCATCTTTAATGGAAGATGAAGTAAAATAGATATGCAGGAAAACTAAGGTAAAAGTATAAAAAAATGTGAAAAACAGACCATGAACAAAATTGAATACTAGTCCCACTAATGAATGTTCTACCCTACGATCAATCTTTTATAGACTATGGTAGCCACTATTCCGTGGCAGAATACTGCAGAGAGTTCTGGTTAATCCAAGAGCGGCCTTACCTCACACACCGGAGAGGTCTCCAGCTGTATTTGACCACTGTAGGAATAAAGAAAAGAAAGGGACATAAAGTGGAATTTAAAGCATACATATTTCAATGTAGAAAGAGAAAATATATTCAGTTACAAGAAGGTCAACATACTTTAGTGCAGAATCTTGTAAGTCTAAGGCTTCTGCTGATTCCACAGGATAAAAGTTTACAACATTTCTCTCTGTAATATCAGTGCTTAATCTAAAGAGGGGGGGAAAGAAGATGTTAGCAAATTTATTAAACTTTTCATATGTTCTATGACTTTAATAAATCCAATGCTTTCGGTCATATTTAGTTTATAATTTTAATATATTAAAAAGTTATGTTTATCATTAGGTTAAGTAATCAAAAATTTATGATAGAAATTTCAAATCACATGGTATTTTCCCACCCTGTGCCAAATTTTATATAATTTTAATTTAATTTTCTATCTGCTATTGGTATTGAAATCCAACCTACTTGCAATATAACAGTAATTTCTGCTAAAGTCATAATATTCATAGATAGCACACATTAAGTCCTATTCTAGAACTTGATTGATTTATAGAAGTAAATAAAATTGCTGAGAGTACTGTATTATTTTATATGTACCAAGGGCATGTTGCTTTAATAAGAAGACATCTCTGATATACAAGAATACTCTCAATTTAAAAATTAAAATTCATAAGCAATTTGATGTGCAATTTTATTTGTGAAATTGTCTTACAGATATTTTCTGAATTTCTAGCAATTTCAAGAGTTGAGTTCTTTTTAAGATCTGTAAAACCAGGAATTGCTGTAAGTCATATAAAAGTTACAAGGCTATCTTTAAAGGTAGGGATGAGTCACATTATACATACTTATTGAAAATGCTATCAAACCAATAATCAGAAATACTTAAGAAAAGAAACCAAGACAAAGGCAAAATACAGTACCAATATTCAACTAGACTTTCTGATGTTAAGGTTGTATGAAAGGTAAACCTCTAAAACTTAATCCTATAATCAGTGGCTTAACTCCAACAATAAAAAGTTTGGATCTATGAAATATGAGAGAAAGGAAAAACCCAGTATGTATGTAAAATTTTTATTATTAATAATCAGTCCCAAGCAGCTAGAAATAAGTGACCCCTTGAAGTGCCCTCTCTTTTTAGAAACACACACAGGACTCTTCTTATACTAGTACTATACTGGCTCACAGAATATTATACATTAGAACTGTCCTTTTGTGATAATTATTTCAGGATGAACAACAAAGACCTAAAGCAGCCAAAGGAGTGGATAATTTTAGGGAGGAAATGAAATCCATATAAGTTTTACAACATAATGCATTTTAAAATAGTACTCCATAAAGATGTAACTCAATTAGCTCTTGAAAAGTTACTCAGGGCTGTTTTCTTCCACAACTCAAGCACACACCCACCATTCTGACTCGCTCAACATTCTTGGCAACTCATTGCCTCAAACATTTCCAAGCTAGGGAGGAATCATGAGGTTCTCCGTTCATCCCACTTCTCATGAAGGAAGGCAAAACTAAGGCCCACGGCTGGGAACCCTCCTCCAGGTCAGTAGGATTTTTACTACTGGGCTCCAGTCCCACATTCCCAAGCCACTTTTATTTCCACCAAAGTAGGCTATTGTTTTTCACTTTGGGGTTCACGTATTAATCAATCTTGAATTTGTAAGAAAAGTGTATTGGAGGAGTAGAAGTATTAAAACACTATGAAGTTTGAGCCCAACTGGGGCCTTCTCTCTGTCACATCATGTCTTCAAGGCTCGTTCCTGGACTCACGCTCCCTTCCCATCGGTACGCTTGGCCTTGGAAATCTCATCCTCCTTAGATAGCTCTGTTACTGCAGCACAGTGTGAAAATGACTTTCAAACCTAAGTCTTGAAGCCCCAGAGCCGAACACCTAGCAGCAGAGTGGACGCTGCCACCTTGGATAAAAATTCAGTGCATCCTACGCTGACCCCAACATCCTCCTCTTCAAACCTGCTGTCCCTCTGGGTTCCCCAACTCCGATAACGAGAAGGGGGGCTCAGATCTAAACACTGTTTAGATGTGTTCTCGCCACCCACTTCAAATGATCGCCAAAGAACTACAACTGTACCTACCACTGAGTATCTCTAATTTATAAAATCTAAAGAAAAGTATGAATTTAGAAATACCTACAGAAGAACATCCATTGTAATATATTTCCTTCCAGTTTTAATTTTTTCTAGGTTTCTGACACGACTGAGACCTAATTCTGTCTGTATAATTGGGATCAAACGTTTGTATTTTATATACTTTTTAAAATATATAAAACATAAAATGAGCATTCTAAAATATATTGGAAACTTTAAAAAAACCATTGTATCAGGCACATTATAGTCCATCGTATTAATACTTATATTTAAGTATCTCCAAACTACTGGATTATTTCCCTTTTCCCAAATATTTGCTATAAAACACCTTCCTCCTCACAATCGTTGTTCATATCTCTTTGTCCCTCAGGATAAATTTTTAGAATTTATTTGAAAAGTTTATATATTTTATAGGCTACAGCCATGTACTACTAGGATGTCTTCTGGAATGGTTTTTCCTACTAACAGCTTAGATATTATTTCAAATCCTCACCATCCTAAAAAGTAAATATTTGGATCTCATCTTACAGATGAGGAAACTGGCATGCAGAGTAGTTCTATCTTACCCAGATCAACGGTGTTGGCGCTGAGTTCAGAACCAGCGGCCAGCTGATCCCAAGTCTGTTCTTCTCAACAGACAGGCTGCTTCCCCATTCTTTATAATTTCACACAAATGCACACAATACACACACACACTCTCTTGTCCCTGTTTCTTCTCATTGACTGCCCTGGTTTAGGATGTGAAACTCAGCCCTTTAAGGAATACACCTTGATTAGGCATTCACTAATAAGCAAAGCTCTGAGCCAAACATTAGGGAGAATTGGCAACATAAATAATCCTATTTTTAAACCACCACTACCTCCGTCTACATATAGAACAAAGTCTGGGCTCCTCAACACAGCATTCGAAGGCATCCTCAGCACCATCCCACTGCCCCTCTGCGGGGTCTCAGTCCCAGCTATGCATCAGAAGCACTGGCAGTACTTTTGAAAAGTGGAAATGGCCAGCCCCCAGCCTCACAGGTGGAGTCGGGGTATCTGTGTTTCGAACGTTCCACAAGCAGTACTGAAGCACAGCGAAGGTAGAGATCATCTCTGCCTGAACCGTTCCAAGCCCGCTCCAAGCCCGCTCCACTCCCTGTGACTCCCTGCCTTTGCCCAAGCCTCTAATTCAATCCAGAATTTGCTTTCTCCTTGAAAGGGCCAGTTATTAAAGGCCCAGATGAATGATCCCAGGCTTCACGGATGCCAGCCCAACCACCTCCCTGTTTCCATCTGTGGCCAGGCATTCACTTCAAACACTTAAATCCATTCCACTTACAAATATCTACTCAAGGCAATCTCTACCACAGTTTAAGTTCTTTGAAGGCAAGGGCTGTGTCTTGTTCATCTTCATATCCCCCCGAGGTGCACTCGGTAGATCCTCCCATGCTCTAAGCACTCAATTAATGTCTGCAGAACCGAAATGCTTTTCAAACCAATTGCTGAAGATTTCCAACCAAACTGACCCGTCACTCTTCTTTTAGGTCCAGCCGATTTTGGCAGTGACCCATCACTGGCACTCTGGGACGCACTAACCACCATTTTCAAAAATTCCCAAAATGTGGTGTGGTTTCCGTGTTCACCATATTACAAGACCACATCATCTTCATATTTAAATCCCCAGGACCCCTAAACAGTTTATCAGGAATAAGCTTGGGGTATATTTCTCTAGTGCTAAAATAGTTAGGACCTGACACCTGGTATACCGTTTCACTGAAGAATATTTTGTTCATGGGAATCCCATTATCCTTTGCGAAGAAACCAAAAAATAGATCTCCTGCATATAGTGCCTATTATTGACAATGGCCAAGTCAATTAAAAAAATTATCTTATGACCCAAATCTTCAGAAATATACTATTTATTTAACATATATTTAGCATCTCAGAAACAAATATGATAGTACCAGATAAAACAATTCTTTCTTTTTTGAAAAATATCCCTGATATTTCTCTAAGTCAGGAGTTAAATTTTAAGCAATTACAAATCTGCACTTTTATCATATTTCTATTTTCTAAGAATTATACCAAAAATCCCCACAGGAATGTCATGAAGGGTAACTGAATTTCATTATGGAGTAGCAAAAGGAGGAAATGATCTCAATCTCTCCAGAACTGTGACTCTTACTTATGGCTCTTGTGAGAAATTCTCTTTTTTTGGTGGCTAGAGTGAACCCAAACGGTGTGTACAAATATTTTTAAAGGTGAGATAACATACTCAATAAATTAGTACACATTATTCACACATGAACCCTGGGCCAAGGAAAGACACGCATACCTGTTGGGATCTTGCAGCAAATCTACTGCTTCTCTCAGTTGTTCAATCATCGCTATATCCATGTCCTGGTCTTTGGATGAACTTATTCTGTAGCATGAACCGGGCATAAGAATGAAAATGATTACTGGAACGTGGATATTATCCAGATTCTTAAGAGCAAACGTATAAAAATCCATCTAACATATAAAAATGATTTTGACAAGCTCAACATGATAATGAACAGGTGTCAGTCCCCTGTGGAGTGGATTGCCAGAGGGTAGAGGAGGTGGGGCTACTGGGTGGGGGAAGCCCAGCTCTGCTATAAAATAGCAGCTCACACAAAGTCTCGATGCCCAAGGGTTTGCATCTGCTCCTCTATAAAATCAAGGCAATGGACAGGCTGGGTGGTTCTCACACTGTGCTTTCATGAGCCCGGGGCGCGGGGTTGCACAGGGGTGCCCAGCTGCAGCAGGTCTGCACGACTTCTGGCTCTTCCCGCTCCAGAGCAACCAACGTGGCTCGGTTTTACTGCTTTCATACAATATGGGATTTCACTGCAGGATAGTGGTTCTCAGTGCAGTTTCTTTATGCAGCAAAATCATCTGTGGCACTTAAAAAAAAAAATGCCAAGCCAGATACTGGGGTTTGGGCTTTTTATTAAGCTCTACAGGCAAGGTTGAGAACAACAGGTATAAGATTCTGAATGGGGTTTCCAAAGCTTTATAGACAGTTGGCCCTTGAACGACACAGGCTCAAATTGCATGGGTCCACTTATACATAGGTTTTTATTTTTTCAATAAATATATTGGAAAATTTTTTAGAGATTTGTAACAATTTGAAAAAATTCACAGATGAACGGCATAGCCTAGAAGTACTGAGAAAGTCAGGGGAAAATCAGTTATTATTGTAAAAATATAGTATATAATACACATACAAAATATGTTAATTGTTTATGTTATTGGTAAGTCTTCTGGTCAACAGTAGGTTATTAGTAGTTAAGCTTGGGGGGGTTGAAAATTATATGCAGATTTTTGACTGCACCCAACCCCTGCATTGTTCAAGGGTCAGCTATAGTTTAAAAAAACACTCTCCCTATAAAATCTGTTTCCCTATAATTCTGTGATTCTGTAATCAAACTAGTCCTCCTTGACATTACAGAAATATATTCAATGAATAGCTGATAATACTGGACAGTGATTTGAAAGGAACTTAGCAATGTTTTTAAAGGCAGAAGAGATCTGATCATGGTTACTGCTTTCCACTACAGAACATGAGCCAACGTGTTTCTATAAGTGGAGAAACTTTTGAACAATATAGTAAATCCTCATTCAGGGTAAATCCCTCCCAAGGTATGAAGGAAGATCCAGGCCTACATGCCAGATCATGGAAACAAAATCCTGGGAACCAAAAATCTACTGTATGCCACATGGTTCAAGCTCAATTCCCCTGGAAATCATTCATCATCTGATAGATGACTCATGCCCTCCCCTGTAAAGCTGGCCAAGGAAATCCTCACATGCAATCGAGTTGAAGGGCTATCTCTATCTGATATGAGATTCCTTGGGTTCAATCCCAGCCCTCTGGGACCTTAGGACAGTCTCTCTGTGCCTCAGTTTTGTGCCATGTGAAATGGGGGATAACAATAGAACTTATCTCATAGGATTGTTGTAAAGATGACATGAGTTACTACCTGTGAAGTATTTAGGACAGTGCCTAGCACATAGCATTTAATAAATGTTAGCTATTACAACTGTTAGACATGGGACCAAGACATGAGAAGTATATGGTTTTCTCAGATCTTGAACCTGAAGACGGTTCAAGGTAAAGCGTGACTGGGACTGTATATTGCTCCGGGTCCAGTTGTTGGTTTCTTCAGACAAATGGAAGGAAGCTAGAATCTCCAGTGTAGGAATTTTATCTAATTTCCTGAATCACATTCTATCCACAGGCTCCAGTCAGATAAAACTCCAGGCCAAGAAGAGGTCTGACCTTGCACTGTGACAATAAGCATCTGACAGAGAACAACTTGCAACTTATTGATATAACATTGGGCTAGACTATCAGCTTGCCCAAAGAAAAGCAGACCAAAATTCTATCATGACAGGGCTGCCTTCTGCTTGAACCATGAACTTTACAGGATGGTGGCTCATAAGCAGGCCCTGGGTACTCACATTCCCTCAGGTTGCCAGTGCGTGTCCTCTTCTATCCGTAACAGTTCTTCACAGTCCTCAGCCCTATCCTGTGGACAGAACACACGGGTCTTCTGAGAGCCACTGGCTATCAACAGTCCACAGTCAAACCCTGCCTTTAGTCCACGTTCACACTAGCATTACTCTCAACAGCCAAAAGGTGGGAACAATCCAAGTGTCCATCTACAGATGAACGGTTAAACAAAATGGTTAAACAAAAACAAAATGGTTAAACAAAATGGTTAACCAAAAATGGTTAAAACAAAAAATGATCTTTACATACAATGGAATGTCACTGAACCCTCAACAGGAAGGAGGTTCTGACACAGGCTACAACAGTGAACCTGCAGGGCATTCCGCTAAGTGAAGTCAGTCAGTCATGAGAAGCCAAATACCGTAAGAGTCCAGCTCTGTGAGCGACCTACAGGAGTCCCTCATAGAGACAGAAAGCAAAATGGTGGCTCCCAGGGGTGAGGGGGGGAGGGAATGGGAAATTAAAGTTGAACGGGTCCAGTGTTTCCATTTGACAAGATGAAAAGAGTCCTGGAGATAGACGGTGGTGATGCTTGCACAACCATGTGAATGTACTCACCACTGAACTGCACACTTAAACATGACAAAAATGGTAAGTTTTATGTTACGTGTATTTTACCACAATTAAAAATAAAATTAAATTAAAAAAAAGAGAGACCTGACCCAGGATCACAGTACCTGTTAACTTAAGAGTCAGAAATGTAAAGTTCTATTTCTTATTGCCCTCTTAGCACCTCATGTTCAGATTCCTCTGTTAAGTTAGGCTCATCGGTCACATAAGGAAGCGCATTCTACTGTTCGTGAGAGGAGGGGTGTGTGTGTGTACACATGTGTGCATGTGTGTATTCTTGAGGAAAAAGAAAGTGTAAAATAAAGAACAACAGAAAATGCCTCCAGTTGCATCTAATAGTTCCATGCATACTGCACCCAGATCTCACTGAAATGTCCCCCCACACACATACACCGTAATTTTCCCAAATGAACGTTGTGACGGGCTTAGTTAGCATGGTGCATCCCACCGCTAAGACTTCCATGTGCTTCTGTCCACTGTCAGCTCTGACACAGAGCCATGCTGCCTTAACTCAGCCTACAGCCAGAAAAGAAGCCACCCCTGAAGGGCAGTACGTTCCTCAGGCAAGGAAGGAACAACAGACATACCCAAGGACTGACACGCTGTTTACTAACTCAGACCCAGCCCATTCTCCAGATACGTCACTGAGAAAAGTCTTCTTCTGAGGAGGTGCCTAGCACTGGATGCCAGCCTCTGGCTTAAAAAACACTCAGACTTTTATTAATTATAGATATAGTGCATAGTAAAGTAAACACAGAAATTACTGTGTCACTATCCAAATAAGAGTGAAATTCATGGGTGAAAATATGCTACCAGAAATGAGCAAGAAAACATGTTCTAATTGCTCTTTGTTGGGTTTCAACTACAGGAGCCAAGGGTATTTCCTTGGCTATTTCCTAATTTTCAGTTTCATAATAAAAGAATAGCCAATAGTATAAAAGACCACTTATTTTCCAATATGCAAAATAGGGCTTACCGACTACTTTTGCTAAGTTACAGGGTTATACAGTTCATCCTCATTATTTGTGGGTTCCATTTTTATGAACTTACCTACTCACTAAAATTCATTTGTGAATGAATCAATAAATCAATACTCGTGAAGATTGTCCAGAGCGGTGAAAACCTTGAGTCCACAATATGTGTGTGTTCCCAGCTGAGGCTGAACAAAGCAACGCTCTGCCCTCTCATTCGGACCCAGCCCAGCAGCCATCAGAGCACCAACCTCGGGAAACAAGGACGAGCACCTGGAGACCTCACACCTGCTCTACCACAGTAAGCCCGGGCCCATCATTTCTCATGAGCCTCAGTGAAAATGAATTTTATCCAATTACCCTTGTGATTCATGGGGGCCACACCCTGAGCCAGAAGGACTGGCAGAAACACACCAATCATGTCTCAAAGTGGAACCTTCACTACCAGCGTTAGCAAAGGGCTGGTTTTTCTCTATTCTTTTTGCTGCTACTATGATGAAGGTTCACCTGAAAACACCGTGACTTCATCCAACCTTTCAACACCTCAGTGCAAGGATAAGAGCTCAGGAATAAGTGTCCTCAGAGTGACCTTCCTAGAAAGAGAAGACATTCATTTCTAGATTTTAAGAGTCTCCACTTTTCTCTTTATACTATGGACATACTCCCAAGAAAAGCATTCACCTAGAATACGTGGAAAAGAACGTGAAACGGTCTATTTAACTTTGAGTGGATGGTGATGGTAATGCTAGCCCGGCTGCTAACTTATCATGCACCGAGAGGTGGAAAGCTAAGCAATCACTGCATATAAAGGAAATCGGACACATGTACAGACACACAGAGAGGTATGACAGGGACCAGCTCCCAACAGCAAAAAATAGACACCCCAAGCTTTGAGAAGATATAGAAACCGGAGGAAACTGGCATAAGCTGACATTTAAGGTGACGGACTGGTAACCTTGAATTTAAATTCAAAGGCACCAAACAGAAGAAAAAATTTTAAAAATCAGCAGATCCTCAACTTGCCTTAATATAGGTTATAAATTCTGAACGGAGAACATCTGTTCCATCAGTAAATTGGCCTCTTCCTTCTCCTGAGTTGTCATTGTCACCCAAAAGGGAAGGCTCTGGTTGAAATTCCTGATGAAAGTCCCCTATTAGGAAAATGTAGAGAAAGACAAAAAGATGGTTTCATGAAGAGATGAGCAAAGCACAGACGACCCTCAAATACCATCGGGCTATTTTCAGTCACTGCTCTTGCCTCTTCTGGAGGTCTATGAATGACAACTTTTCTCTTCCCTGAAAAGTGGGACGAGAAGATGAATAAAGGAGGAAAAAGAGAAAAAGAAATAGAAAGCTCCCCCCCCCATGGTGAACTGGAAAGTTAAGGCCTCTTTATGGCTTTGTCCCTTAAGAAAGAAATGAAATCTCCTATAACTTTTTTAAGAAACAGAGGAAAGCATGTTTGAAAGAGGCAAAAGGAACACCAAGCAGATCTCTTCTCCATGATCTGCAAACTGGAAAGAACCAAGTAGGGCCACCTTTAAGGACTCCTACCCAGCAGAATACCCACTTCTAGAATAGAGAGGAAAAAACTCACTGGTGACAAATTATGTAATTCTTTTATTTTCAAAATTTCCCTAAGACACTACCTCCTATACTGTATAATGTCACACAGCTTATAATAAAATGGCAGTTTTATTTTTGCATAGAGTATACAGTGATTTTATTTTTTGGACAACGTATGGTTCCAGTCATAACCTCAGATACACATAAATGCTAAACTTAAAAACCTGAAGGTAAAAAGTGAAAGCAAACACTAGACATTGAGTTGGTTCACACAGCTCTCTCATCACTAATGAGAGCATTTTTAAACTATTAGGGAGATAATCTGTATATTAACCTAGTTCTATACTGTTCATATATCATGAAATCATCTCTGCCACAAATCATTAAACACAAATCATTCACATTAAATGAAATCATCTCTGCCACAAATCATTAAATTTTAGGATTTTCTTTAAAAATTATTGAATAAACAGGAGCAGTTAAAAAAAAAAGTACTACCCTAATGTAATCAAATGAGGGTTTCTCACTAAAATATGAAATATATTGCTAGGATTTTCAAGGTATATAGGACATAAAGTACTTAGTGATCACTTGGTGATTGTTAGAGGACCACAGAATTTGAGAGCTACTGAAGACCTTACATATTACCTAATCTAATCACCTCACTTAAAGGTGAGAAAATTAAGGTCAATTGTCTTGTCCAAAGTCAAGTGGATTCCTGGGCACACATCTCAACTACATTTCCCATCTTCACATGTGGCCATGTATCCAAGCCTACCTTGTAAGTGATGGGCACTCCTAGGCTCAGTCCACTAAAAACCTCCTGTGAGCAAGCCCCCATGCTTGGCCAGCTTCAGCCATAAAACAGGACTTGGGAACTTTGGAAATCTTGTGCTAAAGATGGTAGAGTCACAGCATGAAAGCAGCTTAGGCCTTTGAATCACTGCTTGGAGGGGAGTTGCCTGTCAATCATGAACTCCCATGTAAACTTGATTTGGACTATGTTAAGCCAATGAGATCTGGGATTTTATGTGCTACGACAACTGGTGTTGCCTAATATATCTATACATCAATATTTGCTTTCCAAGAATGGATTTAAAGACAGGTATATAAATCTTCAAAATGAGGACCACTCTACTACTTACTAGCTGTGTGATCACTGGCAAGTTACTTAAACTCTTTGAGCCTTGGTTTACTCACCTATAAAATGGAGATGACTAGAATATCCATCTCAGAGTTCTGAACTTTAAATGAGATCACCTTCACAGATTAGCACAGAGCCTGGTGCACAGGAAATGCTCAACAAACTTTAGCTATTACCAAGGCCCTATTTGTGTAGATTGTAAACATAGTATTTGAAACTTAAAACAAGCATTTTCTCCCCATCTTTCATTCTCACACCTTTAACTGGGCTACGGTGATGGCATGAGTCCTCCTTGATGATCTGTTCTTCTTCCATGATGTTTGACATTGGCACATTGAGGCTAACAGTGTCTTCATCAGAAGGCTAAAAAGAAACAGTGCACTGCTTCATTCGCGGGACAAGCATTATCGATGTAGATTAAGAGAAAGCTATATGATAAGAAAAAATACTGCTAATTCTCAAAAACATAATATTGAGTAAAAGAAACCAGATACAAAGAACAATTCCACTTACATAAGTTCAAAAACTAGCAAAACTAATTTGTGGTATTTGAAGTCAGGACAGTGACTACTCTTGGCTTGGAGGTTGGATGTGTGAGTGGGCTTTCTGGGGTGCTCGTAAAGCTGCTCTGTTTCTTGTACTGGCAGTTGGCAATGTGGGTGTGTTCCACTTTGTCAAAATTCACTCAGCTAACACTCAAGTGTTTCTCTGTACATATGTTTTGAGCTGAAATTTTGTCAGGTACCTGATGGCATTTCCAACCGAAGAGCAATAGTCAAAGCACTAAGAAGGACTATGTTATACCTGATGGAACAAAGCAGTAACTAAATATACTATCACACTAGCCCTAAGACTGACTAATCAATCCTTGTCACAGTAACGGTACTCTGAGACCTGACGACAACACTAATTTCCCAAAACTACATTAAGGTTTCATGGGGCTAGTCACCAAATCAGGCAATATCTGTGACAATATCTCATTTATTCACAGTGCATCTTATGTGCAACATTAAGCTCCGGTTTATTTCCCTGTGTGAGACTGAGGAATATATAGGCATTTCGGCTGCATCAAATACATAAAAGTGCTGAATGACCGTAGTGCTTAAAAGGACATGTGTTCTGCGCAATTTTCAGAATAAGGCTTCGATTTGGTAATCAAAGTCAGTTGTCTCTGGGGTCTTGTTTCCCACACTAGCTGATGAAGTTTATTCAGATAATCTACGATTCTGTCACGGATGAAATATGGAGCCTCAATTTCTTTCCTATGTCTCCATTTTCGTGTGGCTATTTAGTGAAGAGCTTTCCAAATCACAGGGATCATGAACCCCAACAGAACACATCTCAGTGACTCCTGGGTTGCTCCTAAATTCCTGAAGCTGTGACTTTCAGAGTTCAGTGTTCATTTACTTTTGGACGCGTGCACAAATTGTTTAGAAACTGACACAAAACAAGTGTGCATTTCATCCATTCAACAGATACTCATTCGGACTCAGCCAATTTTTTTTTTGCATGTTTATCTTGACAAAAATATGTTTTAAACTTCTTAGAGACAAATGCTAAATCAATCAGACAACAGCCAAACAAAGTGAATGAGATGTGCTTTCTGAATGCCACAATGAAACAGAAGTGGGGAGCAAGAGAAACTGGCCATAGATGGTAACGTATTTGCCAGAGTAAGTGAAAATAGAAAGCTACAGTGGATAATTCAAGGCCCTTTTCCTTCTAAAAAACAAATTGCTTGGAGGTGTTCTCAGGTAATGAGGCTACAGTGTGAGCAAAAAAAGGCCAAAGGGAAGAAAGAAGCATGCACTGATTCTGTCGAATATAACCCTTTTTCTAGTCCTTCCTACCACCCTCCTCCCATCTTAAAAACTTAGCAAAATTCCAAAGATATGCATCTAGTTAAAAGGGAGGAAATAAACCCTTGGCCTCCTTTTGGAATGAAATTAGCATCCTACTTGTATTAAGTGAGAACAAAAGGATAATGAAGTTCTTTGTGTGATGTTTTATTAATGAACTTAATTATCCTTAAAAAACAGATAAAGGATAAAGCAGAGTCTGTTTTAATTTCATAGAAAATAAGCTTAGGGTGAGTAATTTCTGAAATAATGGGACATTTCAGGGGACTTAGGAGTTTTAATAAAGCTAAGGGGGCTGAATTAAATACAAAATATAAAGCAATGTGTTGAGTATTTTCTCCCCCAGGGAGCTACAGTAGACTATTCATGTGGCTTCATGAGAGTATGAGAGTAATTTTCTTTTATTGAAATTGGCCTTCTTTTTCTGCCTACAAACTCCTTCTGAAATGTTCTGTATTAGAAAGATTTTAAGGTATCCTAACTTTTTAATACATTGCTTTATAAAGCATTTTGTAGGAAATAAATGCAAATATCTTAGCTACATATTAACCCCTGAAGACCTGAAGAGAACAGGGAAAAGGCATCTTTCTTGGAGTCATACACAGTACAAATGTGAACTCCTTAAGTGGGGTAATTGACTTAATAATTACATCTTCCAAGAGTAGAATGTTTCAAAACTCAATAACTACAAAAACTCAATAAATTTCCTCAGAAGAGAAGACCTGATGATTCATCTATCCCCTACCCCAGCTATCCCTTCCAGCTCCCCTGCTCAAGAAACCCCATTTAATGGTATATTAGTGGAAGGTTTTGGGAACTCTAACTGTAAGTGACATAAATATGCTAAATGAGCTATTTATAACCACTTCAGGAAGCTCTAGTGTGGGAGGCCTCTTAGCTTACAAATAACCCAACTTTTATCCAGTTGTCTGAAAAGAACACAATCGAAGAGTTTCGGGAAAACAAATATTGCTCTAAAAATTATGGCTACTCAAAATGGCATTTCCTGTGGGTAAACTGCTAAAATGCAATGCACATTTGACTCCTTAACATTTATGCATGCAAATAACTTTTTTCCTAAATTATTCTGTCACTTAGAAACAAACACATTTAGAAATGCCTCATGGGTACCTGCACACCACTCTTCGCCATTTCATATTTATGAAACATTCAAGAATATTCTAGGTACTGTGAGGAGCGTGGTGGAAGGGGAAGGGGATAAGAACGTTTACAAAACATTAAATATTCAGCAAAAGCTGAAAACTTGGAGGATTTCAAATTGCTTTCACGAACATAATCACACATTCTCACACAGATGCATTAATGCCCTTTACTACAGAGGAGTTCAAGAATGCAGGAAGATACATCTAGCACAGAAAGCAAAAATAACTAATCACAAACTTTACCTCTGTGGCAGATAAACGCTTATCTCCATTATCACTTCCGACACCCGAATCAGAATCCTTCTTGCTGGGATAGATGCCATCAGTACGGAATCCATTTAGAAAAAAGTGAAATCAAAAAGTTCACAACAAGATACATCAATTTATATTCGAATAATGACTTCTGCTATACAAATTTTATTATTACCCTAAGGCAACAAATCAGCCCAAAATTAAAGGAGGTGGAGACAAGGGCCCAATAATCAGATATTCTTTCTAAGCAGAGGACAAGATAAATTCTTTGTGTTCGGGGTTACTCTAACCAAGTAGCCTGTTCTTTGAAACAGTTAACAATTTTCTTCTTATGGATTCTAGTGTCTAAAAAACCAAAAACTGCCTAATTGCTTTTACCTTTTCTAAGAGGCTTTTACTCTTATGTGGTTACTCTCAATAATTCTGTAAGCTTTTATCCAGTGACTAAACAAATTTGATGTTTATGAAAATAAAATAATGAATACATATTTTAAGTATTATATAAAAGGTACCATTAGAGTAGGCTGAGATTTTAAGTCACCATGTTTTTTAGTAAAAAGTTAAGCAAAGGTCTCTGCAGTGAAGACCTCTCAAAACAATCTGTGTTTTTATACACGTGTTCAGTGTGGGAATTTTGTTCTTTGAAAATTCAAGGCCCAATTTATGCCACAAAAAGGCCAAGGGCATGAGAAAGGATTCTAACACTTCGGTTCCAAAAAGGAAATGGCAAAAACTATGCACGCTGCATTTTTAAAAGACAATTACAAAACAAAACCTGCAGTTTTTCTTAACAATATTCTGGAGGCAGATTAAAAATTAATAATTAAAAAGACATGCCTGAGTTTGATACGGTTGTTTTAATTTAATTTAATTAATTTTAATTTAATTGACTTATTTCTGATAAGTAAAAAATACCTACATTTATATTATAGATTGCATTTATAAGGATATATATATATATGCACCTAACATACATGTATGTAGGTACACAGATGCACATGCACACAGCACACACAGTACCCAGGAAAGACTGATCACTGACTAGAATAGGGAAGGTAAGATTTGCAAGATGCCAAAAGGTTATCAACAGCACCTATTTTCTCTCTCTTATTCCAAATTGCTGAAACACCTGAGGTATTGTGAGGCATCGGTTAAGTGAGGCAAAGGGATTTTTAGAGTTACCTACCTGGAGGCCCCAGCCTCAGCAAAGTCTAAACGGGCGCTTTGAGTGACTTCAGTCACACTCACCTATCCTCCACGGGCTGGTGGAAATGTGGCCTCTCCATCGTGTGGAGATCAAGGGAGTCAGCTGTCTTAATCTGACATGCTTGTATGCTCAGATACTTGAATATGTGCACTTTGCCCTTTGTGCAAATCTATGGAGAAATTAATAATACATATTTGGTTTTCAATGGCAAAACAAAATGGAAACACTCGACACAGAGGCTCTGTGTATTTTAATTTTTGCATTTTCATTTTAAGTAACACTTCAAAAATACACGCCAAGGGCGCCTGGGTGGCTCAGTTGGTTAAGCGACTGCCTTCGGCTCAGGTCATGATCCTGGAGTCCCGGGGTCGAGTCCCGCATCGGGCTCCCTGCTCGGTGGAGAGCCTGCTTCTCCCTCTCCCTCTGCCTGCCTCTCTGCCTACTTGTGCTCTCTCTCTATCTCTGTCAAATAAATAAATAAAATCTTTAAAAAAAAAATACACGCCAAATTTGACCTCTCCAAAACATATGAGAATTTAGGCAATCATTTCTTCCAAATTCTACTTTGAATAGAAAACCATCCTAACAGAAATGTGTCTAAGTCTAAATAGTGTAAAAAAGTAGGAAGTCAGATACCTGACACGGTAACATTCCAATTCTGGAAGCATTCATTTTGTTCCCACACAGTTTAACAGCTGAACTTGGAACTTATCTCTAAATAACCAACAATCATACGTGAAAATGTTTAAACCCCATTTCTCAGCTCACATGAAAGTAAGGAATATATTACTCCTTTGATAAGCCATACACTCCATGAAGGAGTTTCCAATGTGTGTACAAATGCTAACCTAATCAAACATATAATCCTAGGATTAGAGTGATCAGGACAGTGGGGCGAACGCTGGTGAACGGACTTGATGTAGCAGAAGACAACTGACGGTAGTCGGATTCACCCAAGGTTTCATCTTTCAGAGATTGTGATCATGTCTAAAACAATATTAATTCAGCAGAATATCAAAGGCCCAGCTCTGCTGCGAGTTTCCCATGCAGTATTGATAGCATATCCCGTGGTGAAAGAGCTTCACTGCTATCCCTCACCTGTGCTGGAGGAGACTGCAAAGGGTTGTTCTCAAGTAGTAATACTTGCAGCTGTTTCATCTGTCTAAAACAAATGGGAATCACGAGCACTTTATTGCAGGAAAAGTCAAACTTTACCAAGGGAAGATCTACTAGTTCTAAAGAACAGGGGGGGGAAAAAGAAAAAAAAAAAAGAACAAATTCAGAAAGCAATAAGATTAAATGGCTAAACATTCAAAAACTAATTCTCTGCTTACCAGGAAAAATATCAGTTAGCATAATCAAAGCAAGTTATGCATCAAGAATATGTGGTATGCATATAAAATATTTTACTAAAGGGGAGGGGGAAATCTTTCATGGAGAGCGCAGTAATTTTAAATTGTTGTTAGTTCTGGTAAGAGCTAGAAACACACTTGACATTTACACTATCTATTGTTTAGAAAAACCTTTCTTCCAGCAAAACAATCACAAAAGCCATACCACATTGGCTTAGGTTTCATAGGACATGTTTAACTTCAATTGTGAGCTTATGAACAATGTGCTAATGATAAAATATTCTTATCTAGTCAACGTATCTGGGCTGGCATAATGTCAGAACTAGTTACAAGAAATATGTTCATGGTTTATTTAATTCCACTTTTTAAAAACTAAATGCTATCTACTTCAGAATTTTGCAGTGGACCCTGTAATCCTGATTCGATGAGGCTCAATTCTACTGCTTTTAAAAAGTCTTCTGTAGCTCCACAAACAAGACAGAACATTATATTTAGCTTAAAATCCCCACCCAGTGGCATAGTAAACACTCAGTAATTTCAAGCATTCCAGCCGACACTGGCAGCTACAAGGAACGAAGTCAAATATATTCCATAGAGCAAAGAGGCTGAGCGACACCAGACATGTAGAGTGACACGGGGCAAACCGCTAAGACCTCTGCGTGAGACACTCTGGCGGGTTCATGTCAAAAGGGGCCTCATCATGTTTATTACAGGACTTGGTAAGGGATGAAATACAGTGCTTTCAAAGACACAAGAAGTTCCAAAGTGGAGGATAGGCAGGCACTATATAAAGTGACCTGCAGTGAGAATTAACGCAATTCCTTCTCTCCCCCTAGCATGCCCTAGGGTTTTCACTTGACTCAGCTATGCTACTTCAAGTTCCACAAACAAAGATGCTCTTAGCAACCAGTATCTCTTCTCCTAGTCACCTGGCTCTGGGCCTCTGGGTGTGTAAGGGACTTTCCTTGTTTCATGCCTTAGTGAGTTACATTGTATTTAAAAAACAGAGTCAAGCGGACTCAAGTGCTAGAAGAGAGGCAGAAGAGCATCCAACTCAGCAGGTCCCAAGCTCCGCTCTGTGTCAACTGCCCTGAGTAATTCACTGCCCAAACTCGGTCCCCACCCCCTCCCCCCAACAGCCGGGTGGATGATTTGCCTCACACCCGACTCATCCTGGAGGCTGCCTTGATGGAGGTGAGCAGCAGAAGGTGAAGGAGAGAGGGAGGGAGAGAACCTGGAGGGCAGCAAATCAAGAAAATCAAAGGAAAAGGGAAAGTAAGATCCCTTTCACCTCGTAGTTTATTTCTAAAACAGGGTTAAGGCTTAGAGGGATTTACATACGAGAGGAATATCTCCTTGCCGTAACCCTTAAGTGATATTAATCCGTCTCCGGGGCTGTTAATTTTACTCACTAAACTTAGGTTGGCAAATTAGGGGCAAAATCTAACTGCAGTCTGGATCTTCAGCAAGTCTTTGCCACTGAAAATGAAGACTTTTAAGCAAGACTGAGGGCTAAGTTCCTGGCAGCCATAGCAGGAAGGGGAGGAGAGGCAACTTAAATAAATAAGGTAAATAAAATAAGAATGGTTTTTATAACGACTGTTCCTGCTAATTGCAGTTTGGAACACAACTACCATCTTAGTTTAGGAAAACGAGAGCCTGGCAGTTTCATAACAAGAAAATGGGGGTGGGGGTGAGGGGTGACGATAACTCCAGCCCAGAAACGGTCAAAAGAAACCGGGCAGGAAAAGGGAGGAAGAAAAAAAAAAAAAATCCCAAGGAATCTTCTGTTGCAAAGAAGGTCAATGACTGGCTCCTTTAATCTTAACTCTGTCCATTCTGGTCCTCGAAAAGACAAAATATGGTCTCCTCATTGAAGTATTTGTAGGAAAAGCACCACAAAATTGATATGGGTAATTAGACCACAGACTTGTTTTCCCCCCCTCAGACTGAAAGCATACGGGGAGGGGTACTCACAGAGGAAAAACAAGTCAATATGGAAAATCTTTAAATTCACTGCCTGAAAGCACTATCAATGCTCTTTTGTTAATAGAGTTCTCCAGAGTGAAGCAAAAAAGAAACTTAATATTCAGGAAGTTATAAAAAAAAAAAGATTTTTCCAGTAAACTGAAGTTTTAGCTTTGAATATATTTTAAAATATTAAACCTGAGAAAACACAATTATGAAAAGGATAGAAATGTGTAACTGATCTTTTCAAGGGAAAGGAATGCTCTTAAGGTAAGAGCGTAGGGAGCGCTGAGAGAAAGAAGAACCTTGGTTTGCAGACACACTGTTTACACGTTTCTACACTATTACAGGCAACCATGAAATGACTCTCTTAGATTTTTCTTTTGAAAATGAGAGTCTGATGTTCTGTAATGATTTTTCAATGATTAGCATGAGAGCTACATTTAGAGGCCAGCTTTCTTTAATGCCACAAAAGGTTAAATGCTTAGAAATGTGCTGTTGGTAAGAGTGTTTCCCCTTTGCACTTGCTCAAACCAAGAAAAACAATTTCATCCATTCAAAATGGATTAGACAATGACAGAATGAAAAAAATCAATGTTTTCATACCAAGCTATCTCAAGCAATAAAGTAATACATCCTTGCACTGAGATAGTTTCTAATTCTACTTCTTTAAATGCTGGTCAGTGCAAGAAAGGTGACGGATGGCAGGTAAAGCACACTGCATTTTAGGAAGTTCTTTCCCTTCCACGAGCTTCATCCGCCTGCCCTCAAGCCAAAGATCAAGATGCAGGAACAGAATAATAAAAATCAGGCAGTTCTCAACTAGCTGCAGTTGTGTCAGATTAACCAAATGCTTTCTTTTTTGTTTCCAAATATATGCTTTTGCTTTGAGGTATATTTTTAATTATATATTTGAAACCCGGTATGCCTAGTGGCCTTGAATGAATCCGAGGGAAATCAGTGCGATCTTTGAAAACCAGAGTACGTTTGGCGGAAGCATTCAGTATTCTGCTCATCAGCTCATTCTGATTCAAGTCCAAATAAGAATCCCAAAATAGGAAATTCAGATCCACCATTATCTACAAAGCTGCTTGTCAAAGTTCTTAATGGTGCACACTTCCTGAAGAAATGTATCTTTTTATTTGAACTCAAGAGTCGATGTCTAGAGGGACAGACTGTAGAAGCCCACAGGTGCAGGGAAGGGTCTGCCTGAGTCTGGCTCCTGAGCAGGGATGTCTGAGAGGGCAGCCAGTCTCAGCGCTGAGGTTCTGGAGGATCCTTGCTTCTGGCCTTTGGGAGACTCACCAAAACTACCAGTGACATTAGTCCAAGTACCACCTCAGCAGGGGTAGTACCCTCACCTGAGGCATATATTATAGACATGGCAGGTGGTTCCCAACTAGGGTGACCAGATGCTCAAAGCCAGAAATCCTAACAGCTGGGTCTATAACACCAAGCACATCGCCTAAAGTGTTGGCTCAACATTCCAAAACATCACACATCCATACCAAAAACAACTCATGTTGCCTCCTGTTATGAGCTGAATCGTGTGTCCCCAAATTTCCTATGTTGGGAGTCCTAACTCCCAGTACCTCAGAATGTGACTGTATCTAGAGATAAGGCCTTTAGAGGGGTCATTAAGTTAAAATGAGGTCATTTGAGTGGGCCCTAGCCCAGTATGACTGGCGTCTTTATAAGAAGAGACTGGGACAGAGACACAGAAGGAGGAGGATGTGAGGACACAGGGAGAAGAGAGCCATCTGTAAGCCGGGGACCGAAGCCACCTTGATCTTAGACTTCCTGCCTCCGGAATTGTGAGAAAATAAATTTCTGTGGTTTAAGTCACTCAATCTGTAATACTTTGCTACGTGAGCCTGAGCAAACTCACACACACACAGGGGAATGGCTGCATTGCTGTACTCCTCGACACAAATTAAAAGCTGAATATTCACTTTTCTGGTATCTGCATGTGAAATTCATATAATTCATATTCACATAATTAATTAATAATTAATATCATTAGGCATACCCAAACATGACTAGACAAACTACCTTCTTCACATAAGTAAACAAAACAAAAAGAATAAACGTCTCCTGCTTTATTCTTTTTTACCTTGTGGTAAAACTTTAAGGTAATTTCTTCTGACATTCAGTTCCCGTAGAGATTTCAACTGACCTATCTGCTGGGGCAAGGCCGTGATCTCGTTGCAGCTGACATCCTGCATCAAAGGCAAAGGCAGAAATGATAAACACCCTTTTCCAGGAAATCAAGCATTTCACGTGAAACCTTCTTAAGGAATTTAAATATGAGGACAACTACTCAAGTACCTTTTTATCTTGGTCTGTACATCCCTGGCCAAGGAAGGCTTAGCACAGAAAAGAAAAAGAAAGTGCACCATTTTTGAACATCCTCTGAGGAGAAAAAAAAGAGAGGAAGGATGTTTGGAGCATCCGGGGGCTACTTTGAGGACCTCACGCCTGCTGCGTTCATGTGCTTCAATCTCATAATTCTCATGACAAACCCATGAGACAGTATTTACAGTCAGAAAAGCGAGGCTCGGGGAGGTTACGTCAGGCATCCAAGGCAGTTAACACTTGGAACGAGTGCCCACCCACTGTCAGGCCACTATCCCACAGTGCCTTGAAATAGAAGATGACATATCCTACTTACCAAACACATTTTACAGTGAGAACCTGTGACTATTAATGCATCTTTTGGATGCACTATTTATGTAAGGTGGAGTTCTTACTGGAAGGCTGGGAATTTTGCGGGCCTAAACACCTTTAAGCACATTTTATAAGCAAGACTGTGGGGCATGTGGATGATGTCTTTTTTTGCACTGAAACACTGGTATCCCGTTAACCGTTGATTGGAACCACCTCTTGACACATGCAAAATGAAAGCTATGACATTTACAATGTTCTTATACTGTCCCCCATCCCATTCTTCCTCCTCCTCTGGAAGCTCTGCTCTGCTCTCACCCCACCCCCACCCCAGCTACTCTCTAGTCCAGAGCAGCATTCTCTCTCATGGGGACACTGTAATGGTCTCCTCGATTGGTTCCTTACATCGGTCTGCTCCCCAGATCCATCATTCACAGAGCTTCCAGAGTGTGCATTTCACCATGTCATTTATCAGCTTAGACATTTGCAACAGCTCCCGGGAAACCCATGGGGTAAAGTCTCCAACTCTGGGGCAGGGCCCAGAAGCCACGGTTCAAGTCTGCTTCTCCAGCACCACCTCTCTGAAAGCCCTCCCTTGCGTCCTCAAGCCACACCATCACCGACCGCGGTCACGGCCGTGCGCCGGGTGCTTCGCGGCCCCACCCGTGCCCAGGGCCCCGGTCGGCACGCCGTTCCCCGGGACTGACCTCTTGTTCCACCAACATCTTTCCAGATTTAAGTCAGGTCTCGCTCCCCTCTGAAACCTTTGTGGAGGTTTCTCCCATTTTCCCCCTCTGGACCGACACCCAGGGGAAATGACCGCCCTTCCCTCTGTGGCCCTATGCATAAACTACTACTGTACTCATATGCTCACACATTTGCCTTCTCTTAAGAGCCTGTGAGCTCCCAGATGGAAGATACCGGGTCTTATCCACGCCATCTTCCTGGGGCCAAGCAGAATGCCAGGTATGAAGAGATCAATAAATATTGGATGAAATTTCTGAAGTCCATTTATGTTGACACTCTCATTCTGCCTCACGGCTGGAACCCCAGGATGCTCCAACATACACACCAATCCCTGGCAGGTCTTGCTTGAAATGGCAAAATCACAGATTTACTTGGGCTAGGTCTGAGCCCAGTGAGACTGAGTCTTTAAATTCCCCACATCACTTGTGAACCTGCAAAAACTCCCCCTTTCACAAGGCAGCAAAGCAGTTTCACATTCACTCAGATGAGAACTCACCATTGACCCATCCCCAGCAACCCCAGGGCTCCGTGTAAGAGCAGGACTATGCAGAACGCAGGGGATCACTGCCCTCTAGTCTCTTCTCACCTAAAAATCCTCAGGTGACCCATCAATCTGGCAAGGTTACAAAGCTGCTAAATGAGTATCACTGGCCGAAGAGGAATAAAACCACTCCTGCTAAAGGGAATGAAACAGCCCTCTGGAGAGGCTGCAAATTGCACACAGTGTAATCAGCCGTGGTACTGCTCAGTGCCCTGCATTGGACTGAGGTGAGGTGGCGTGTGACAGGCTCACAACACTAGGTGTTCAAGGGCATCACCCCCAGGCTGGCTGTTGATGCATCACTCCTGGCCCAGAAAAGCCACATAAAATTCCATGAAAAACATCCCTAGTGTTTAAAAACAAAAACAAAAACCCACAAGTACATCTTCAGAGAAATAAAAGTCGGAGGAAGTAATTACAGAATTAAAAGGTCCAGAGATTTGTTCAGTCACTTTGAGCCCCTCACTGAGTCAGTAAATAATTCTGCCTCTCAGCATATACTTCCATATATGAGAAATAAAAAGGGAAATACTACCTTTTCCCAATTACTCTGGCATCTGATCAGTCACAGATAGCAACAACCAAATCCTTTCAATGAAATCTTTGTCTTTCTTTGCCTCAACCAAGTCACAAATACGCAAGAGGTACCATTCCATTCTCTTTTAGAAGAGCCCTCACATAAAGTGTATACAGGTAAGCCCCAGAAATACATGAGATTAAATCATTCTATTGGACTCACAGACAGGCACAGTCACGCTGGTGATGGTTGGTGGGAGGGAAGGAGGCGTGGGGGAAGAAATAGTGGGTATTTTCCGTCTCTAGAGAGAAATTATGTTACTGACATCTATAGTAAGTTTTTATAAGTCAGTGAGCGACAGCACGAGAAAAGACCCTTTTTGCAGTTTATGGGAATCAAATTTTTGATATGAAACTGGCAATTTTCAGAAGTTTCAAGGACAGAATTCTTTTAAAAATCATTCTTTTCTTTTATTATTTATTTTAAGAGAGGGGAGGGGCAGAGGGAAAGAGAATCCCAAGCAGACCCCTGTTGAGCACAGAGACTGATACGGGGCTCGATCCCAAGACCCAGAGACCACAACCTGAGCCTAAACCAAGAGTCGGACACTCAACCAACTGAGCCATGCAGGTGCCCTCCAAAAATCACTCTTAAAAAAAAAAAAAAAAGGAGGGGAGAGAGGGAAACAGATATATTTAGGCAGCTTATTCACAGCATAAAGTCTCATTCAGTCTTATCCTATTTCTTTGAGGGTACTATATTCACCTTGCATTCTGTTGATTACCCTCTGGTTAGCCGGAAAGGGTATGCCTGGTTCCCTAAATATAAGGGAATTTTTTTTTTCCTAACATATATTTCTAACATAATGGCTTTATCAAGGAAAATCAACTCCCTTCAGCTATATTTAAATGCTTATTTACCAGTAAGGAAAGCGGTTACCCAATTAACACTTAAAAAAAAAAAAACATAATGATAAAGAGTTTTTCCTTCTGACCTACACGATAGGACATCTGTAGACAATTAGAAACACAAAGTCCAATTGTCCATTCACATTTTGAAGGGTGTATAGTGAAGGCCAAATTATTTTAATAGTACGCTGTTGTCCGTTATTTCCTGTCCTGCCAAAATAACGAGGGGAAAATGTCCAGGCAGATTTAGCATGAAATCGAGGTAAAGACTTTTTTCACTATTATATAATCAATATTGTAGAAACTATGCAAAACTCGATTGTCTCCCAGTTACTGAACCTTGCTAAATTTTAAAGAGCCATAATTTCATCACAAAAATAAACCCCTCCCCCCCATGTCTTAATTAGCTGGGGAATGAGGAGGAGGAAAGAGAGGATAATAGTCCAAATACTTTGGGTAAGATGTTTCAGTTTAGAACATGAAAAAGCAATATTCCTAGAATGGTCTGGTTCTCTAGAACATGTCCGTCCACGTTTAGCCTAAGGTATGTTTTTTTTTTTTTAAATTTTGAGTTCATTTTAAAAAGATAATGTTTAGGAAAATAAATTTAATAAATAAATAACACCAATGCCTCATACTTCTGCATTTAGTGAGAATTTCCCAAGCTATGAATTCCAGATTCAGTGGCTTCTTTGAATAGTCAAATGAATCCCTTCTGAATTGTCTATTAGCCCCTAAGCTATATCTTAGAAAATAATGATTGCAAGCTTCAGTGAATCAAATTACCATATATTTACTGTTATAATATTGCAAATGTACAGGCAGGCCAAAAAGAAATCATCACAAACATGTCATAAATATTTACTAATTCTATTTTTTTATACAGAAAAGAACCTAATTATTAAATATTAACATAAACACTCAAACTTAAGTTTTTATGGACCAGCCAGTCTAATTTAGTTAGTGAGATAAAAAACAAAACAGAAAATTTTAACTATGACTTAAAATATACTTTTTTTTTCACTGGTTTAATCAACATGTTTTTAAGTAACCAAAGGAAAAACTTTAGAGTCATTTCATGCTAGTCCTTCCAGGCAATAAAGGAAGTCTCTAGAAGTGTTTAATGCACATTGGAGACTAATAGATTTTTGTTATTAAGTGCTAGTTGTTAATTTACCTTCAGGATGCAGAAATGACAAGGATTTAAAACATCAGATTAATTCAGGAATTATTAAGCTAGATAATGTTGACTTTCAGAAAATAATATTTAAAAAAACAAAAACAAAGTGTTTTTTAAGGAGTAACCTCTAATGAAAACCAACATGTCTACTGCGTATTGGGTCAAGATGATCTTGGTTAGGGAAGATGTCCAGTGAGACCAGGCCACCCTGTGAAAATGCACATGGTATTCTCATGACCTACCTTGCTCTGACTCTCAGGTTTTCAAAAACCTAATGTGGTTATACAATTGCTGAAGTCGTATTTTTGTAATAAATGTAGCTCTTTATTTACTGGAGGAAATGCGAACATTCCAACAGGAAATTCAAGATATTAACTCCCATCATGGGATCACGCTCTTTTTTTTGGGAAATGTCTGTTTTGTGATTCACTGTGTAACTTTAAGTAAATGTCTTAACCTCTCTGTTCCTATGAAAAAAGAAGTGGCAAGATTAAAAAATTGAAATTTCCTTGCGATATTGGGAAAATCCATTTATTACAACAGAAATAATGAAGAGATTTTGAAAGACAGATACTTAATTTACTTAGGAATAATGTCAATTTGGTTTTCTTAGCAATCAAAAACCTCAATGCCTGTAGTCAGAACTTTTCTAAGAAAAATCA